GCTGGTCTCAAACTCCTGAACTCAAGCGATTCTTCTACCTTAGCCTCCCAAAGTGCCAGGATTAGAGGTGTGAGCCTGGCCTTCTTCTGGTTCTTTAAGTGATTACTGCAGCCTTCACGCCCAGCTTGTCTGGATACCAAGGCCTGACCCCTCTGGAAGAGGAGTGGCTTTGGAGGGAATGGGCTGGGCAAAGTGCCACAACCATCCAGAACATGACACAGGGTTTGAAGGTGACCCACAGCACTGGGTACCTGTCAGACTGCAGACCTGGGAACCGGGGAGGAATCACAGAACTGGGACACGGCTTTTGGGGTGTCTCCCTGCCCCTACCCTGACCATCACAGTCAACTATAATTAACTGGACTTGGAGGGCCACCCACGAAGGTCCAGGTTTAGGATTTTGTTCACAGAGGAGGGAAGGGGTACCTGCAATGTCTGCTTCACTTCCATGGAACCCCCGGCTCAGTCAGGCACACATGAAGCCTCTACCCATTTTGCTTTAATTGAGCCACACATCTGTCCTCTGTCCCTGGGCGTTGGCACAGTGCTGGGCTGTCACTGCCCAGATGGTGACAAGTTGGAGTGGCTCATGAGGCCCTTGGAGTCCACTGAGAAGATAGAGCGTGTGGGACACTGGTTAAAGTCACTCAAATACTGCCATTCTAAGTGCACTTCTACTTTTTTTAAAAGAAGGGCACCATCCTTCTTCTGTTGTGGTTGAGAACGAGTGACGTGAGCTAACAGGAAGTTCTCCTAACTTTTCTCATGTGTGCAGTGAATAGCTTTGCTGATTTTCTGTTAGACGTGTTCGTATTTTGAATATTTCCCAAGTAGTTTTTATCAGTTATTTCCTTGGCCTTCTCTGTCCTTCCTGTGAGGAGACGTGGGGCTCTTAGCAGGTGTCACTTCCGCCTCGTTGCTGTCCTGCTGGCTCAGGCGTTCTGTGTGCAGACCCTGCTCGTGCTGGGGGCTTGTGGACTCGGTGCATGTGTCCTTGTCTTTTTCCCCAGCCTGTGTTGATGTGTTCAGCATGTCCTTGTAAGAAGTCCCATTGTTAACTTTTAAAAAATGTAAATTATCAGTTTGATTTTTCTAAAAAGAAAAATTTGATCTCATCTTATTTCCTCAAAGGTATTAAAAACATACTCTCGGTGTTGGAGCCATGCGAGGCCCCTGGTCTCAGCTGGGAGTGGGCGTCCACACCCGGGGCCGTCTGCAGGAGAGAGGTGCCAGAACAGCCCCCTCCCCAGGTGCCTGCCGGAGCCCGGCTCTCGCTGGGTACAAAACAGATACTAATTAAACATTTGTATCGTTTCCTATGTCACATGGACTATATCTTAAAATAGATTATTTGAAATTTCCCAGATTGTTATTTTTATTTAATTGGGATTTTGATGGATTGTGCAAATAGAAGAAAGTTTAACGGAGATGCGCAGCCATTTTGGCCAGTGATGTATGTTGTCGTGACCAAGTTAAAGTGGTAACCTGACATTTTGGGTGGAGAAGAAAAGTGACCACATTCCCTCTGTAGAAGGCAGCAGCCTGTATGTATTCTTGTCCTATTTGTGTCATTTTTTGTCTGTCTGATTCTGCTCACGGCACGTACGTGCACGAGTGGCACCTCAGGGTTGCAGCCCTCTCTCAGCCTCTGCACCCGAGTGTCAGTTGAGAAAATGGGCCAAAGCCACAAAGTGCACTTTTGTCCTTACAGTCACATATCTCAGAGGATGCTCACAGGGCTGTAAGGAATGAGGCTGGTGCTTGATAAAGCCTGTGCTGTGGAAAGCCTACTTCCCCAGGTGGCTGTGACAATCGTGACGTCATATTAAGTTGTTTTTAAGTCTTGCCCTTGGACTTCCTAGAGTCTGAGAGGCTGTAGCCCGTGGGTGCTAAAGACTTTTGATGGTGCATCTTCTACAGTGTTTCTCAGGGTACTGACAGGTGGTCACACAGGTGCCCCCAAGGGAAGGGACAGTGGCCTCTGGAGCTGCTAGGCTGGTTCACCTAAGCGGGTACTTGCTAGTGGGAGAGGGGGCATGCAAGGAGCCCAGCAGCAGCTTCCGAAATGACTTAACCCTACAGAAACTGACCCAGAAAGTGCCCTGCTCAGCATTAGGAACCTAAATGTTCAGAAAGGTGATTTCAGTGACAACAAAGCAACAAAGAAACGGTGACCTCCTACCATGCCCAGTGCTAGGGCAGCTTGCACCACGAATGAGTAGTAAACTCAGAAACATTCAAACTACTGAGTGGCAAATGATTTGCCTCTAATTGAGTTTGAATATTTTTTGCCTTTCCAGCCTATAAGCAAAGCTTTGCTGTAAGTGGCTGCTCGCTGAGCTGCCAGGGGGTGGGCGTGGACACAGGATTTGAGGAGCTGCCCTCGCCTTTTAAAGCAAAGAAGTAATTCCAAAATAAGAATAAGAATATAAACTTTTACCAGGGCTCCTACAGAACGCCGACCTCTGCCGTGTGATGGGACTGGTTCTCTGTCGCCTTTGTGCACTGTTGCTGCCCTGCACTGGTGGCCTTGGGGCACCTCTCTAAGTCCCCACTCTGCTGTGCCCCAGCTGGAAAGCAGGCTGTGTTGGAGGAATCGTTTGAAACCACCAAATATGGTTAGTGACATCTAAGCACATGAAGAAGAAAAATTGACCTTACTAGCAATCAAAGAAATGAAAATTAAAGTGATGACAAGCTATGGAAAGAAAACAAGCAAGACCAGCTCTCCTCTGCACTGCGGGAGGGACTGTGCACTGGGATGGTCTGGCTAGGGCCAGGCTGACAGTACGTGTGACACACTGCCCACAGTTTGCTCGCTTCCTTTCTGAGCATGCGTTCTAAATAATCTGAGACCTGTGGTAGGTGTTTGTGAACAGTAGTATGTCTCGAAGCGTTTGAGAACAGAATCCACACTGATGTCCAACATCTGGACGATGCTTAAGTTAATCGTATACATATAGAATACTATTCATCCATTAAAATTAAGCACTTGAGGAATTTTTCTAAAGAAGTAAAATGCAGGGTTAACTGAGTGGGCTTTATGTTCACACTTCTTGGATTGGAATTCTTACCCAACTACTTACAGACTATGTAACTTGGGAAAATTGTTTAACCTGTCCATGCCTCAGTTTCCTTACCTGTATAAGGGGGAAATAATGGTGGTTGTACAGTTTAAATGAAGTGATTTATTTGGCACGCTTAGCACAATGCACGACACAGCCTACGTGCCCAGTAAATGTTAGTGTTAAGCAAGTTACTTCTGTGCCTCAGTTTCCCCCACTGAAAATGGGGGTAATGGTAGTTCTGACCTCAGAGGGATGTGGGCAGAGCTTAAATGAGTTAATGTGCAGAAAGCAGTTGCGGACCTAGCACACAGGAGCCACTATGTAAGTGTCAGCTGTTTGTGCTCCAAGTGTCGGGACCCTAGTAGACTACGGAGACTGCTACGGCTATTCGAAAAGCCACAGCCTCCCACACATGCGGACTAGAGGACGGATGTCCGAGTGACTAGCTGTGAGTAGAAAGACTACAGCGACTTTTGGTTTTGTTCTTTCCTGTATTTTTCCAACACTCATTTTTAACAATGAATGCAAATAGATATTCCTTTAATAATTTTAAAAATAGCAATTTTAGACTTGAAACATCATCTGCTTAGCCCATGGTTGATCACAACAGTCAAGTCCTCTGAGCTGCTTTCTAATAATGGTTTTTCTCTGCTCTAGTACTAGTCTCTGGTCATTTATAGGGAGTAGCTTAATATTCCTGCGCAGTGTAACAGTGTTACCCAGATACCTTCTCTGCTTGCAGCAGAACTGCGGTTCTGAACTCCAGGTTCGTGCTGGAATCGTTTGGGGAGGTTTTGAATATGCTGGTGCCATCTCCTCCAGACCTGTTGCGTGCACAGGCGCGGGCGTGGCCCGGGTGTCTGAGGAGGTCCTGAGGCGCAGCCAGGCGGTGCTCAGCTGCCTGTGTTGGACACCACCCTCTCCTGCCTCCCAGAGAGGTTCGCTCCAGTGACAGAACCCCCTCTTCCTCCTGTCTGTCTCACAGTCAGCCCTAGTGGTGCTCCCCAAATCTCCTGAGGATAAGGGTCCCCAGAGATGCTTGTTACAAACGCAGATGCCTGGGTCTCGCCCAGACCCACGGGACCCTAACTTTCAGGGGAAGAGGCTGGGTCGTGTGTATATTTCACAAGCCCACTGGGTGAGTCTCACCGGCAGAGACGGGTGGGGACCCTGCCAGGGCCGAGGTTCTCAGCCTTGGCTGCGCACTGGGACTATCTGGGAGACCTGGAGAAATTCTGATGCATGGTTGCTGCTACCCGCTGTGTCCCCCATTCCAAAATTCTGACATAGTGCATCTAGGATACCAGCTGGGCTCTGGAATTTTTAACGTCCTCTGGTTTCTGGTGTGCAATCACGGTTGACAGCAGCCAGCAGTGATGGTTCTCAAAGTGAGGCGCCAGGACCAGCAGCGTCAGGTGTCACCTGCCAACTTGTTAGACACAAAGGTTATGAGCCCCATCCAGACCTACAGAATCAGAACCTGGGGATGGAACCCAGAAATCTGCATCTCAGCAACCTTCTTAGCGGTCCCAAAGCTTGTTAAAACGTTAAGAACCACCGCTCCTGGGCAGGTTCCTGGACACCCCTAGAGATTGCTCGGTAGGTTTGGGCTGAGCAGCAAGGTGCTCCAGGCGGTCAAGCCCACACTGCTATACAGTTTGCCCTTGTTCCCTTGGGCATTTTGAAGTCACGAGGGCCTTGCCGTCTCTGGAGCACACTCAGCGTCCCCGTGTTCTTGTAGGAAGCCCGCCGAGCGTCCAGGACACACGCGGTGCTCCAGCCACAGCGAGTGAGACGTGTTTTCCTTAGGGTTGGCAAGTCCTGTGGTTGGGAACCAGTCCTTCAAAGGTGCTGACCCGAGTTTGATTTCGAACACCAGAGAGGAGAGCATGTTTCTTCTGTGCCTAATGTCCGTGCTGCTTTGTTTTGCAGGTTTTATAATCAACCCACCTCGGCACGGTGCCCTCAGCCCCAGGCCGGCAGCCGCCAGGCCTGTTGCAGAAGAGGAGGACGTGAAGTCAGTAGCATACTGGGCACGCAGGATCGAGAGGACCTGGAGGTCAGAGGGATGGCCCAAGCCCACAGCCTGCCTGGCCACACGAGTGTGGGACCCTGGGAAGTCGGAAGAAGGACAGAGAATGTGATGGAGAAGGCAGTTTGGGAAGAAGAGCTGAGAGTGCCGGCTCCTGCCAAGTGGCAGGATGTCAGCCTGGGGAGCTGGGACCAGCCCAGGAAGGTAGGGAGACAGATGTCTGATGGCAGCGGGGAGAGATTGTTCCACGACCTGTACCCGTTCATTCAAGGAGAGCATGTGCTGAGCTCCCAAAACAAGAAGAAGTCCCAGTCCTTGCCTAGAGTCCTTTCCCCTGAGAGCCTGAGCAGCGTGGACATCCCCTTTCCACTAAGTGACGTATGCTTTCCCAAAATGCCACCGTATCCTCCAAATTGTCCTCCGCATCTGGAACCCACAAGGCACCCAGAGAAGGGTGGTGCCTCGGTGCCTTTGCCCCGGCCTAAGTTTGGGAGACCCCTCAAGCCCCCGCATGGCTCGCACCAGCCGAGCAGGGGCGGCGTGGAAAAGAGCGACCCCCAGGACAGCCGGCAGGCGGACCCGCTCGTCTCCAGGCGCGAGCTCTGCGCGCCCGACTCCGGCTTGGAGCCACCAGTGTACGTGCCTCCGCCGTCATACAGGTCGCCGCCCCTGAACGTCCCAAACCCCTACTTGGAAGACACGGCGCCCAGACCTCTGACTGAGAAGGCCGGGGCTGGCGGTCAGCTTCCTCCCGGCGCCCTGGGCGCGGGGGCCGAGTGCGGTGCGAGCCCCCGCTCTCCTCGAGGGCCGCCGGCGCACCCCTGGCCTGCCCCCGCCTACAGCAGCTGCGTTCAGTACATCCCCTTCGACGACCCGCGGATACGGCACATCAGACTGGCTCAACCCCAGGGCTTCTGGGAGGGAACGGAGCTCCACGAAAAGTCGCGCGACTCCAGTCCTGTCACTCCCCAGGAGCCACCTGGCGGGAAGGTGCAGCCCGATGGTGCCATGCTGGACCCCCGCAGCCTGACACCCCCGTCGGGGGATGGGCGGGGCCCTGGCGCCAGGCCCTGGTGGCTGTGGGGCCAGCTCCCCGGGGACGGGGAGCGAGACCCCTGCGTCGCCAGAGGACAGCGGCCGCTCGCGGGGCGCAGACACGCGGAGGGCCAGGGTTCCCCGACAAACTCGCAGGGCGACGGTGCCTGCGGAACGCAGACCAAGCTCAAAAAGTTCGAAACTGGGATTCAGAGCAAGAAAAGCTCGAAGAAAAAAACGAGCGAGACTATATTTTGCTTGGTTTCCATCCCGGTCAAACCCGACGCAGGCCCGGGCGACGCGGGCGCGACGCTGTGGGAGCGGAGGGCGCTGGGCGCGGCCGCCGGGCACGGTCAGGGGCCGCGGGAAGACAGACGCGCGCTCGACCTCAGCTTCCTGCACCTGGCGCCGCACGCCGCGCTCACGGGCGCGCGCTCCTGGCCGGGGCTCCAGTGCCGGGACCAGCAGACGCAAACCAGTTTCCCCGAGGAGCCGCGGCGCCCGCAGCCCCTGCCGGGGGCGCAGCCCGGGGGGCCGAGTGACACGGCGCCCGCTCCGAAACGCCCAGGCCCGGCGCTGGCTTCCCGTGACCACGGACAGAGGCCAAATGCCCAAACCCTGAAAGGTCAAAGGTCCCTCAGCCCATCTGGCAACAGCGTTCTTTCAAGGACGTCCTCGTCCACACATCAAGCCCTGGGGCCGAGAGCGGGCTGCAGCCAGCCCCGCGTGGATGGCCGCGCGCCCCGGGCCAGCCCCGAGCCCCGGCCGGAGGTGGTGAAAGGGGAACCCACGGGCCCGTGCAACAGCAAGCAGCTGTTTGGGCAGTTTCTCCTGAAACCAGTCAGCCGTCGCCCCTGGGATCTGATAAGTCAGCTGGAGAGTTTTAACAAGGAGCTCCAGGAGGCGGAGCAAAGCAGCGACAGCGGTGGCAGCGAGGACGGCGAGGCGGGGCTGCAGTGGGAGCCCGGAGCTGACGCCCGGCAGGGGGACCTGGGCTTCCCTGGACTCAGCCCAGAGAGGAGGGTCGAGCAGCAGCAGGGCGTGCGGGTGCCCGAGGGCCCTGCGTGCAGGCCAGGAATTGGCGAGCATGAGTCTCAGAGCTGGAGGGCGGAGTCCGGGCCTGGCCGCCCGCCCTCCCTGGACCCCTCGCCGGCGGAGGGTGGCAGAGGGGACTCTCCCCGGCCAGCAGACAGAAGCCCGAGTGCAGAGAAGAGATGCCGGGAGGTCGGCAGTGCAGTGAATGAGCCAGGGGTCAGCCCAGGACCTGTGCAGGGCATGATGTCTTCAAGACCAAGTGGCACGAAGCCAGCGTCCCCATCCTATCCAGCTGAGCCGGGGGAGTCCCAGGAACATCGGAGACTCCCGGGCGCTTCCATTTCTGTGACACCCAGCTCAGCAGGCCCTGCTGGGGTCCATGGTGGCAGAGCCAGGGGCACGGGGCTCCCGCTCTCCCTGACCAGCAAGAACCTCGGGCTCTCGGCGCCCGACTTGCGGTCCGTGGGGCTCTCCGTGGGCCAGGAGCAGAGCACCAGCGAGGCCAAGGGGTCTTTGGGTGAAGCAGGAGAAGTCCCCCCGGGCGAGTCCCTGCAAGCGCGGGCTGCGAGGATCCTGGGCATCGAGGTGGCTGTGGAGTCCCTCCTGCGGGGCAGCAGGAGAGCGGGACGCAGCCAGCCGCCCGCGCCTGACCCCAGTGCCTGTGGCCCAGAGCGCCCCCGGGATGAACCGTCGTCCAGCTCAGCCGCGTCCCATGGCCCCACGGTGCCCAACGATGCCTTTTATGGCAGGAGGAAGTGCGGCTGGACCCAGAGCCCGCTCTTTGTGGGGGAAAGGGACAGTGCCAGGCGGGCTCCCCTGGTGCCCGAGCACTCAGGTGTGGCCGGGGGCATCGCCAGTGACGCCTCCTGCCTCGAGCCTCAGCTCCGCTCCTCAGAGTCCAGCTCCTTCGATCAGCAGGACATGGGGGCAAAACCTCCCTTCAGGTCCACTTTGTTCCATTTTATAGAAAGGACCCCAAGTGTGGTGGGCTCAGAAAAGAGGCTCAGAAGCCCTTCCAAAGTGATTGAGAGTTTGCAAGAGAAACTGGCCTCCCCGCCGAGGAGAGTGGACCCCGACCGCCTGATGAGAATGAAGGAGGTGAGCTCCGTGTCACGGATGAGATTCCTGAGCTTCCGGAGCGCCGACTCCATGGAGGAGCCCGAGGAACTGAAGGCCGCCAGGGGCCAGCCAGGGCCGCCTGCAGACTTTGTGTCCCTGAGCGACGGGGACCGGGTGTGGAGAGTGGGCCCCTCTCTCTCCGTCCGCAAGGAGGGCATCTCTCGGGGAGCCAGTGAGCCGGAGGACGAGCACGTTGATCAAGACTTCTGGTGCCCAGGTGAGGAGTGAGGCCGGGGGACAGGGCAGGTGTTCCCTGTGCGTTTGGGGTCCTTAGATCATAAAGCATAGCAGGGTGATGGAAAATGTAAATGTGCATGTTCAGAAAAGATCAAGATTGACTCTGTGAATCGTTTTATCAAAAGATTCTTCCTTTTCAGAAAATTGCCCCAGAAGCTTTCCTTAAGAATCAAGATCTTATAGTATATTTTGAATTATTATATTTTTATAGAAATTATCTGTGTGCACAATTATATAAAATTGTCTACATAAACAACGTTTTGGATCTCTTCATGCAAAGAAGTAAGCCAATAAAGTATCCAGCATTGGTGCAGGCACCTTGATAGATCTCGTCGGAGACCGTAGCATTTCTACCCCGTACTGTCCTCCTAGAATAACAGGTGTTCATGCGAGTAACTCGCACTGCTCTTTATTAATCTAATAAAAATGACATCCTGGGTTGACTCAACAAACCATCTCATTATGCTGTGTCTTGCATTTGTATCTTCCAAAATTCTTTGCCTTCCCATTTTTTGTTTTCACCACCACACCATTCACAAGGCTTTAAAAGGTTTGCTAAAGTTAAGTTTGTCCTTTCTCAACACCCCATCCCCAGAAAGTCTACCCACCAACTATGTTTCTTAAAGTATGCTAGGTTTTGACTTAAACTGAGACAAGGCATCCTGCAGGTCTGGGCCCTTCCCCATCCGCCTCACCCTGGTGTTTTTGGAACCTTCTCTGACTCCTAAAACCACAGGGCAGTTTCCCATTGTGGGAGCAGTGACTTCCCCAAACAAGATCTCACCATCTCAGCTCTGACACCGGAGACCCAGAGAGGTCCTGGCATCTCTGTTTCAGACACTTTCTGAAATTTTTTCTTCAGAGGCTGGGGATCGATCGATTCTGTATCCTAGAAATGATTAGACTAAGAGTTTAGATACACATCGAAAGATCTGACTTGCAAAGCACAGTTAGAAGGCGCCTTCTGCTCCGCAGCCCGGAGCCCTTTCCACAGTGAGGGAAACGGCGCCCCACGCTTGTTTGGGGGCTGTCCCGTCCCCTCCTTCCTCCCCCGCTGCCTCCAACAGGTGGCTCTCCTCCTCCCACCCCTTTTCATTTCTGTCTTGAAATCGAAGACTTTAGAAATACATGGAAACTAACAGTTGTTTCTACTGGAAGAATCCAGAGATTTTTATTTAAAAAAACAATCGACTTGGGTATTCCTTAAGTTTTCCCACAGATGCAGTATGATTCTTAGGGTTGTTGGCCAGTGTCGCCCTGTTCCTTACGCAAAACACGTGATGGAAATACCCCACTCGTCAGGCTCTGTTGGACCTCTGGTTGGCAAGGTGGGTCTTTGCCGAGGAAGTGAGCACCAAACACGCGGAGCCTTTGCCGTTGCTGTGGAAGAGTGTCACCTGGCCCGTGTTTCCAGCTGTTGGGATTTTGTTTCTTTGTAGGCTCTAGCCTCCTCCCACCCCCAAAAAATACGCCCACTCCGTTTTAAGGACTAGCTAAAACTTGGCATAGGTTTCTAAAGTGAGTTTCCTCATCTATAAAATCAAGATGATTTTTATCAATCCTACTTCTGAGAATTGTAATTATTTTAAAATAAGACAAATCTTGTTATAACCAAACACCAGTTTGTAAACATTAACTATTTCTGTGTCTCAGTTCACAGACCCCTCTTTCAGAGAGTATTTGGTAACATAAAATTTCCAGCTCAGTAAAGCACTCCCTTGAATTTTGCCTGCCCATTTGGTGTGCAAATGGAGTCCAGACGGTATCTAAAACCCCCAAACGATGCAAATTTTAATTTTAGCCAGCCATTAAAAACATCTCCCTTGTGACCTTTTTATTTTTTTTTTAACTATAGCTACCAATGACTAAAATTTTAATTATTTTCCCCCTCTCCACCTGATGCATTTGTTAATATGCAATAAAATGGCCCAAAATCTGCAGGTGGAGAGCTACTGGTGTTGACAGCCACCACGGGCATTCATTTCCCTGTGTGTGTGTGTGTGTGTGTGTGTGTGTACACACCACGGTTTCTCTGTCCATATGTGCATTCATGAACACTGTGGGGCAGGGGCAGGCTGTGTCCGTGCCTGGCTATTGTGTGTGACGCTGCAGTGAGCACAGGAGTGCAGCTCTCTCTTCCATACTGAATTCCTTTCCTTCGGATACACACCCAGTTGCGGGATCACTGGATCACAATGTAGTTCTATTTTTAATTTTTGAGAAAATGGCAATTTAGGGTTATTGCTGTTTTGTATGGTGTCCCGCTTTGGAAACCCAGGTCATCTGGGCACAGATTGGAGTTTGTCCAGTGCAGGCAGTAGAACGTATCAGCGTGGTGGCCCAGACCAATGCACGCCTGTGTGTGAAGGTTCTAGAAGGCGTGTGCTGACAGGTGAGCACCAGCGGCTGCGGGAGACAGGCAGCCTCTCTCTGCCAGCCAGGCAGTCGGGATGTCAGGACGCCCACACCTTCCAGGGCCGTGTGTCATCACAGAGTCGCACATTCTAAAGCAGCTTTCATTAGAGTTGTCATTCACCAAGAAGGAAAAAGAAAAAAGAAAGAAAAGAACCCCTCCTTAGCGCCAGCCAAGCCACCACTGCCAGTTCAGGGGCATCACGTTCCGAGTGCGTTGCCTTCCGCGGCGCACAGAGAGGGCGTGGGGCGCCCAGCGGGCCCGTCTGTCGGTTCCGACCACACGTGTCCCGGGAACAGCCTTCGGCAATAGTTTCTTAGTGAAAACAAGGTTGTGGACATGTCTAACAATTAGCTTTCATATACTTGTGGATTTTGCTCCCTAAACAAATGTGTGGTCTGAGGATTAAACAGGAATCAGACCAGTTGAACAAACCACCCATTTCCTTTCTGTGCTTGCTTTCTTTTCCCCACAGACGCCTACGACCCCAGCAGAGTGGAGCGCGTGTGATGCGGCCTGGCCCACCTCGGTGCCCACCGCCCGCTCGCCGGGACGCTGAGAACTGCCGGGCTTCAGCGGGCCACCCTTCCTGTCCACTGCCACCCGCAACCGCGCCGTTCACGCGGGTCGCTCTGGGGACGGGCGGCAGCCTGTTGAAACCGCCTGTTCCCACAGCGGGAAGATTTAATGCCTGGAACTGGAAGAGTCTTCGCGGAATCTCCTTAAGGATGGCCCGGCAGGCTGGCAGACGGTTTGGTGTCGCTGGTTCTGGGCGGGAACCTGAGGCGGCAAAGGGAGCGAAGGATCCCGGAAGGACCGGGAGCGTTTCAGTGCCCGTGCGTGCGCGGCCTGTGCCCCGTGCCCCGTCGCGGCTGCGGGACTCGGGCGCTGCCCAGCGTCCCCGCACGGGCACTTTCGGGAAATGGGAGTGAAGGCCTGCGACCCACTTCTGATCAGTTGGGCCTTCTGCTGCTGGAAGTAACTTCACTTCTAGGCAACTTGCCACCAGAGAATAAAGCAATACCTTTTAAGTTCCTGAAAAGATTTAAAGCTGTGCTGTAATATCCTGAGAGTATTATTTATCAGGTGATGAAACATTTCGATCACTTGCAAACATGCCATGGTCCGCTTTGCACTCAGTAGTATCTATTTTTGTTTTCTGTATGGGTATTTAGAAATTCTTTATATGAAAAAAATGCTGGTTTAAAATAGACCATTTTAACAAAGTAACTATATTTCTTTTTACAAAAATGCTATTTTTCTATGATGTAAACAATTGTTAGGTGGCAGATTTTTAAGGAAGGATTATTTTATTTAAGAGTCTGTATCCCTTTGTGGGAGAGGAACCCAAAGAGGGTTCGCGTTTGCTTTAAAGCGGAGGCCCAGCCCGTGCACATGCTGCTGCTGCTGTCTTTGCAAATGTCAATGCAGTCGTATCACAGGGTTAATAAAACAGACTTTTCACAAAGACTTTTGTACTAATAAAGCTATAAGACTATATTTGAAAATAGCCCTCTCAAAACCAGCCAACATATCTATGACAATTTTTGCTGCCATATCAACTAGAATGACCAAAAAGCATAGTTTTATCTTTGTACGCCTGTGGGGATCTGCCCTAAGACCATACTTTGCTCTCCCTGCACTGCCCCTTTAAAGAAATATGTATTTTTAGCTAGAATGATCCTGAATTAGTGTCTGCATATTTTTAAAAAGTGCTTGGGGAATATATATATATGTATATGTATGTATATGCCATTACAAAAGTATTCTGAGGCCTATGTATTCTACAGTGTTCAATATTGCATTAACCTGCACAAAGCGAGTGCATTTTTAATGCATTTGTTGCTTTTTTCTAAGTAAGATTTTCATGTTAGCTCACATTCCCTAAATGGTTTCTTGCCTCCTCCCTCCCTCCCTTCCTGCTTTCCCTCCTTCCTTCTCCTTCCCCCACCTTTTTTCCCTTCTCTCTCTGTATTTATTTTCTTTTTGAGAAACCACCTTATCTATTTTTAGACATTTCAGATTCCTAAAATGTGAACCATTGGTGATCTGTCCTTGGGCCTTCGCGGGCTGTTCTCATCTGTGCTGTATGATTTCATTTCACAAGAGTTTCGTGTATTTGGACCGTAACAAACAAAACAGACTCTAAGAGGCCCTGAAAAATCTTTTCACGCCCACTTATCAGCAGTCTTGGTTTTTGCCGATGACTCACTGTCACCTCTCTCCAGAACCCAGTTCTTACTAAGCACAGCAGCAGGGGGCAGGCCGGTCTCCTCGGGCAGTGCTGCGTGGGGAGGAGGGCCGCCCTGTGCTGGCTGGTGAGCCTCCCAGTCCCCGTCATGCCGAGTGAGGGCTGAGCACCACGAGACCTTCCTGGGTCCTATTTCTCTCTTCCAATGCAAATGTGTGAAGGTGCGTGTATACACGCGTACATGCATGTACATATACACACATGCATGCAGACATGCACACCGTATGCATTAACTCTGTCCTGATTTCCTCTTAAATTGTGTGGATACCATCTAGAGACTTCTTGTAAACAAAAGGATTAAATTTAGCTTATTCCCCAAGAGAAAGAAAAGGATCCTCAAGGAAAAACATTTTTGTACCCGTATATATCTCAAAAGAAACCAACATAGGATGCTCTTCTGTTTTGTTCTGGTCTAAATTATTGTATCATATCTTTCTAAAACTATTCTAAATTTAGTCAAAATTATCAATATCTATATTTCAACCTTAATTTTTCTGCATTCAAGCCTATATGTAAATCTTTTTTGGGGAAAAAGGTCACTGTAAAAATTTAAGCAACTTATAAATTTTACTTTTAAACTTTTATATTTTGAGACAAATAATGGCCTCTGATCAAAAATAGCTTTCTCAGAGGTTTTGAATCTAATACTGATAATTCTTTAATTATTTCTATTTCTCATACATATATAACTTCATTATTATTTGTGGCTGGAAAAAAAAGGTTTTTATATTTTTTTATTTGTTCCTGCTTTTTTCTTGAACACACGATTTACTGTTGGTGTTTAATAATTTGGAGGTTATAAAATTAAATTAAAGGTTCTAATTGTGACCATTTGGACTAAAAATTGTATGAAGAATTACATATGAAATATATTGGTTTTTCTCGATTTGCACAAAAGGGGGACATGATGGTAAATTGCCTTTCTTTGAAGAAAATTTCTGAATGACTGAAAGCCAATACCTGTATTATGATTTTCAGCCTCATGGCTCTGCAAACCGCAGCAAACTCCTCACTAACTAAGATGCAGCCAGCCCTGCTTGGACCTTTAGAATTATTTCCGTGTTCATAACTACGTGGATTTCTTGTGTAAAGGCCCCTCGTGTTTTGACATGCATCTGCTCTTCACGGTCCTGGTCTCCTTACTACAACTGTAGGTTGAGGTTTTGGTTCCTGTGGAAATTCTAAGAGCTTTTGTGATTCCATTTTGCTGTTGGCGAAAGGCTGCCATTAGCGGAGCGCAGATGACTCTGAGACCCGCCCTGGGGACAGTCGCACCTCCAGCACGGCACGCGCCCGCATCGGTCGCGCTGCTGGAGAGGGACGCCCTCCACCCTGCGCGGGCCGGCGGGCAGGAGACAGCAGCGCCTGGCGCTTCAGCCCGTCCGCCCCCAACAAACAGTGCGCTGTGTGTTGTGGCTGTTTTTTGTTGTTGTTTGTTTAAGACGATTAAATGATACACAAGTGAGTGTCAGGCTGGCCTCTCTTGCAGAGCGACCCGTGCCGCAGAGCGACCCGTGCGGCAGAGCTCTGTGTGAGCGTTTGAGCCGAGAGAGGCGCGGCTCTCCGGGCTCCGTGTGGGGAGGGGAGGCCCTCAGCCAGGCGCGCCTGTGCCGCACGTGAAGCTTCCACACGGGTGTGGGGCGGGATGTGTCTCTTAAGCCAAAGCTGTTGCAGGCCTGGGGGACTTTCGCATTTTCTGTTTTGTTATTTTGACTGCAGTCTCTGCATCTGTTTGTGGGAGGAGAGTTGTTACCCAGAACAGGATTTAAGAGACAAGTTCCAATGACCTTTAGGAATCTGCATGGTGGGAGGTCCTTTCTAGGAGTGTGGGTTGGTCACTCTGGGACCCACCACGCTAAGAAGGGGGAGATGATAGCATGACAGTAAAGGAAGATTGGCCTCCAGCCTGCATATTTTGTTGGCAAGAAATAAAAAGGGAGTGGTTACGGCTATGAATTCAGCCCGAGGCCCTTGAAAAGGTCGGGTGGGCTAGCAGCCTGCCTGCTGAAGCCGTCCTGGGCTCCCCAGGCTGTCGGGAGGCGGCCGACGCCCGCAGGTCCTGGCTGTGCCCTTCTCCAGCCTGCGTCTCGCTCCTGCTCACGCACACGCGGAGGGCAGGCAGGGCCCTGTCTGTGGCCTCTGCTCACAGGCTGAGCCTCAGACCCAAAGGCAGCCGGTGTCCGGCCGCTGGTCCCGATGCTGGGCAGCGGGGAGCCCGTCCCAGACGCAAGCCAGCCCAGCCCCGCGCTCCTCCCGGCCCCGGCGCCGCGGCAGAGCCCGGGAGAGCCACGTTCACTGTCTCGGAGCAGGGAGGAGACAAGGGCAAGCTCAAGTTGGGAGGCACGTGGCAGAAGACAGAAATGAAAACCCGACGTCCCAGCCAGGGAGAAAAGCAGTAACGCCCGGGTCATAAAATCAGTAAAGTCCGCTCCGCCCCGACCAGCCCAAGTCCGAGCCCCCACAGTCAGGCCTGTCAGAGAAGCTACGCAGAAACGTCTCCAAAAATACATATATGTATTTTCTAAAATTTGGTGAAAATAAGGCCCTGAACCCACAGAAACTCGTATCTGCTCATCCTTACTTTGGTCACCACTAAGTTCCCAAGGCAGGTAGAAGGAGTCCTAGGGAGACACGGTGGTGGCCGCCAGCTGCAGTCACCGCCACAGCCTGGGCAGAGGAGGGGACCTTCAGGTGATGAGCAAAGCAGCAGGTGGAATACAGCGAGGCACAGACGGTGTCTCCCAGGAGCGCATGTCTTTCTCTGCGTGATGTACATGTCCTGGCTGTTTCAGGGTGGCTGCAGCCCGCTTAGCAACACGCGTGTTCCAAATCAAGACTTTGCATGAAAGCACCTGCGCCCATCGTCTCTGGCTGCGGTGCCAGAGCTGCCCGCACTCGCTAAAGGCTGGCTCCCAGAGGACAGCCCGCTGCACGGGGAGGCGCTCGTCCGGCGTGGCAGCGCGGGGCAGGTGGCCCGTGGGGTTCCGGCGTCACTGGCCGCCACTGAGCACTCCTGGAGTCAAGCCTCCTGTGTGCGTCTCCCCGGAGCCGTGCTGACATGCTGGAAAGAGACCCAGAGCCAGTGCAGGGACTAGGTGTGACTTTTAGCTCCGTGACTGCCCGTGTTACCTCGCATGTGTCGTGTTCCCTTCCTCTGTGTCCCCCCCGCCTCTCCACTGCTCAAAAACGAGAATCGAATAAATAGAAAACCCCTGGCACGATGTGGGTGTTCAGTGCACGGGTGTTCAGTGCATGCCTACGGGGAGGTGCTGGTCTGGAGGGGCGCTGGTCTTCCTGTGGGCGCTGCCTCTTGCGTCCAGCGTGGCGCTTCTGAGCAGGCGGGGATGCCATGCACCATCGCGCTCTCAATCTGTCACTGCCAGTAGGCAGACCAGTGCACTTCTAAGCTTTTGTTTCTGAGTTTTTAAAACATGCCCTTCATCCTAACTTAGGCTTTCTCTCTCTCCTATTTGCTTGTGTAGGCTGTTTTCCTCTTTTCTTTCTTTCTTTTTTTTTAAGAGACGGGATCTTACTATGTTGTCCAGGCTGGTCTTGAACTGCCAGACTCAAGTGACCCTCCCGCTTTGGCCTCCCAAGTAGCTGGGATTATAGGCTGTTTTCCTCATTTCTTCTTGGCTCTGTGTGTGCTGGGCCCAAAGCTCGAGGGTCCCAAGGCTCTCTAGGCAGTCTGGAATTTCAGATCACATGGAGATGCAGGTTTTGAAAGAAGGATTATCCCCTAGCTGCCTGGTAATTGAACCCACATATTAAAACACAGCTGAGGAAGAGATTGGTTTACCACATTGATGCTGGGAGCTGACACACACAGCCTGGGCCTGGGGGCCCTTGTCCTGGGCCTGGGGGCCCTTGTCCTGGGCCTGGGGGCCCTTGTCCTGGGCCTGGGGGCCCTTGTCCTGGGCCTGGGGGCCCTTGTCCTGGGCCTGGCTCTGCCGTCAACTGCAGTGACCTGGAGCACCTCCCTCCGTGAGTGGAGAAGGGGATTGAACTAATCAGCTGGTTTCTTCCAACTCCAAGGTTATATAACTATTCTTTTGGCAAGCTTGGAAGTCCATAGGGTCTTTCCCCCGCCAGAAGGGTCCAAGAGAAAAACGATTTGGAAGCGATGGCTGTACATGAGTGTGGGCTGGGTCGCGGCCAGGGTGGGAGTCCTGCCATGCTTTCTCCCACCAGGGTGGTCCACTTCCCCCTCGCCGCAGCTTATCCTGCTCTCCCCCTCGCGTCGCTGTGGGCCAGCCTCGGGACTGATGATACTCCCTTCTCCCGACATATTTTTCTTACTCGGGCAGAGCACTGGGGGGTGTGAACTGGGCAGTCAGCCCAAGGCATTAATCTACAGCGGCCCACGTAGACAGCCTGTCTCAGAGTTTGGCTGCCGGGGTCCTTTTAAATGCACTTAGGTTCAGCGATGTTTGTGTCTCACCAGCTAAACCAGCCTTTCTGCTTCCAGCCTCACCCCCCCCCCAAATCTCCCCCAGGTGGTCAGCTCGCCATTCACAGGCTGGCAGTGCTGTCAGTACCCTCGTCACTCAGGTTGGGGGACAACTCCACGGAAATCTGAGTGCCAGCCCCCACGGGGCCAATGGCCTCTGGTTTGGTTTCCGTGGGGAGCTCAGCTCTTCTATGAGTTAGAGGATGTTTGTTCCAGGGACTCTGTTTGCTGTTCCTTCTCCTGACGACCTCACTCTGTCCTGAGCTTCCTGCTGCATTAACTGCGAGTGTTTTCACCCGGCCTACCCTCACCCGTGTATTGCTAAGGTTATGACAGCAGTGTCAGCTGGCATGGAATAAGCCCACATGTGCATTTATAGGCTGAACATTCCTAATCCCAAATACTCTAAAATCTAAAACGTTTTGAACACCATACGATGCCACAAGTGGAAAATTTCGTGTGACTGCATACGATGGGTACACAAAATTATTAAAAATATATAAAATTATCTTCAATCTATGTATAGAAGGTATATACGAAACATAAATAAATTTGGTGTTTAGACTTGGGTCTCATCCCCAAGATATCTCATTATATATGTGCAAATATTCCAAAATCAAAAATAAATAAATAAAAACCCAAACACGTCTGTTCCCAAGCATTTCAGATAAAGCGTACTTATTTTGGACATAGAATTTCTTTTGAGGAGAATACAAGGAAACTAACATTGTTCAGTCCTTACTGTGTGCCCATTAATTGATGTCACGTACATCAATTCAGTGCCCCTCATTTTACAGGAGACAGCAGGGACAGAGAGGCTGGGTCACCGCCTGTGGCACGAGGCTGGCAGCGGAGCAGGGAGTCAGCCCTGCTTCTCCTCGCCTCAGAGCGCGTGCTGCTCGTCTCAGTTTGCTGCGTCACATCGCAGGAGATTTCCATTTAGTCAGGAAATTCAAAGGTAACGTCTTTACAATACTAAATGCATTTGTTAGGGTCAGGTTCAGCTGCCTATGCCAGAAAATTGGAAATAACAGTGACTTAAAGAAGACGGAAGCTTATTTCTCTCTCGCCCGGAGGCGTCCAGAGGCAGGCTGTCCAAGGCCGGCGTGTCAGCCCATGACATTCGGGAGAGAGGCTCCTTGTGTCTTCTGTTCCAGCGCCCTCTCACAGTCACTTCCACCCTTAAGGGAACTCATGGCCCAAGATGGCTGCGAGGTGGCAGCCACCTTGGATACTTTCCAGGTAGCCTACAGTAGGAAGCAAACCCAACTTCAGAGATGTTCAAATGTGAAAAAGAAATGTTCCTGTATAGTTGATGAAATACAGTCACTAACCTTCACTCACTTGGTTTCCCAAGATTCCACAAACACACCTGTCCCCATGCCTCCCGGGGAGTCCCCCGCAGGGCTGGTTCTGGAAGGCTCTGTAGAGCCTGCACTCCGGGAGCGCCCAGCCACCCCACCAGCAGTGCCGACTCCCGCGCTCTGGTTCTCAGCCGCCCGTGTGTATGCCAATGCCCGGAACGTGCCGGAAGAGAGAGCGAGACTGGTTTGGTGCCCTGGCATGGGAGCAGGGACACTTCCTGCTTAACCAGCGCACGTGTAATTTTGATGTGAACCATCTCATGGTCACTTGAGGTCAAGAGACCAGCCCCAGCTCTCCCCTCAGTCCTTGACGGGTACTGGGCCACTTGCTTTCTCTCCCCCTGACAATGTCCGTTTGTCCTTTGGGTCTCAGTTTGAGCCTCAGGTTCCACAGTAGCTTCCCCGACTGGCCGGACGAGGTTAGGTGGCTCTGGGTCAGGCACCTCCCTCAGGGCACTGTAGAGGTTGTAATGGAGAGTACGCAAGTGTCACATGACACTGTCCCCTCCTCCTAGGCAAGGGTGTCGAGGAGGGCTTGGATTGTGCCTGTCGTATGAACCCACAGGCCCTAACAAAGTTCCCGGCACGTATCAGTAACACAAGCTGCCAACAAATAACTTGTTTGAAGCAACAACACCAACGCCCCAATGTTAGAGG